TACACAACTTATACGTTTTAAAACATTTTCTCACCTATTACCTTAATTTCTACCTCTATTTTTTATTTGATTCTATCTCTTTTTAATATATTTATTTATTTATTTATATTTTTATATTTTGTTTTTCTTGTTTTTATATATATTCGAGTAATCAATTATTAAATAAACATCCAACACCACAAAACAACACATACTACAACATAAAAAAAAAATTCGGCTGCCGCTTCGTCGGCTGCTTTCGTCGTCGTCGTCCTTCGTGCCAGAAGTCCGTTGTCGTCGTCGTCCTCTTTGTCGCCCCTCCTCGTCTTCAGCATTCCATTCTCGACTCGACCCCCCATGCCCTGCGCCTTTTGCGTTGGTCGACGCGCTACGCTCTTGGGAGTGGTGCCTCCTCGGTGGCACCACTTTTGGATGGGACGGCTCGTGTCGTTGAGGTGGACGACCGTGAACCCGCGGTTCAATCTCATGAACCGGCGAGCACCGTCGTCCTCAAAAACGCCCCGCCAGGTGCGTATACGCCACCTGCCCAGCCCGTCGTTGTCCCCGGAATATGAGGCGCAGCGTTGCCGATGGGCGGCCCGTAAGCGGCGAGCCGCTTGGCTGTACTGTCACTGGGCGCTTTGCGGCTCCGACTTCGGCGACGGCCGGGTCCCGCACGGCATTACTGTACTCATTTGTCCAGGCCGCCGCCGGCAGGGCACTGTGCCACACGGTGTGCCACAGATGGGCCGCTAGCGGATGTGCCACCTCCACATGCTACGTGGTCGCGCGTTGCTAGCACTTACTCCCTGCGTTTCGGCTGCTGGGGTACGGCGCTGACGTGCGGACAGTACCGCCTTGCGGGCGTTTTCGTCGTCCGTGGGCCTCGATCACTGTCTGCGGTCCCCGGTGTGGACTGCGTACGCGATCGTTGCTGTGCTGGGCGTCGGCGGCGGGCCGTGGTACGGCCGTGGTCGGCGTCGGGTGTTCGTTTCGTGCACGATATTCGTCCGTGCGCGCCTGGCCTTACTACTCGCGCGGCTGTCTTCCAACTCATCGTCCAGTCCTCCGTCGTCGTTGCTATGGCAGGTTGCCTCGTCGCCTCCACGACTGTCGCCTGCCTCACTGTCCATGTTGACTGCTTTTACTTCAAAAAGATCTAGCCACTTATCTTCTCCTGTGCTACATACATGCAGTTAATTGCAATCTATAGTACCTTGGTTACACGGCACCTTCATCAACACATCGTGCTTTACGATTCCTGGTCACGGCCACCAATTGTTAATACGGTATTCGTTTTACCCGTGGTCGGGATCCTGATAGGGTTACATGCCGTAGTCGGTACTCGTAGATATCGCTGTAACCATCAATATCAATAAAATCAACAATTGGACTGTACGTATCTTCATCACCAAACATCCTTACTACTCCAGAAACACTATACATATAACTATCGTTTCGCTCCGGTACAGGAGCGACGTTATACAGTGTTACCGCGACATAGACACAGACTAACTTACATCATTCGGGCAGATAGTCTAAACGTTAGCAACCCAGTAATACAGATCACGTGAGATGTCTCGTGAACTCGAGATCGAACTCAGCCGGCTCCGCTCTTCGTGGCTCCCGACTCTTCTCGTATACCTCTGATCGGGTCGTTTGTGCTAACCTCATGTTCGCATTGGTCACGGTGGTCCTTCGCTCTGACCCCTCGGGCGGGTGACCAGTGCCAGCCCTCTCTTTGTCTCTTGTCCCCCAGCTCCATTCAACGCTCGTCAATGAACCTGCGTTCCCGCCCGTAGACGACCAAAGGTCTTCCTGTCTCTCATGCTACCACTACACTGCTTCTTTTCCGCGTCCTTGTTCTAATAATACTTCATTCCTTCTAACTTTCCATGATCTTTATATCATTATACATTACTCCCCCCCCCACAAAATAAGGTTTGGGAGCCGTAGCCATGCGGGCAAGCAACTTACCGTCAGCGTGTAATGATGCCGTCGACTAAAATGCCCGTATTATGTTTGTTTTGTACATTTATACTTTTACTTTGAATTTATATATTATTTTTTATTCTCTATTTCTCTTTTCCGTACCCAACTCCAGCGTTACCCACAACTTATACGTTTTAAAACATCTTTTCCTCCACCTATTTACCCTTAATAGCAATAACTACGAACCTTCTCTACTCTATTTTTTATTTCGTTCTACTCTCTTTTTAATATCTAACCTATACTTTATTTATTCTATTTATATTTTTAGTTATTTTTGTTTTTCTTGTTTTTACCTATATATTCGAGTCAATCAATTATTAAATAAACCATCCAACAACACATACTACAAAAAAAAAAATTCCGGCTGCCGCCTTCGTCGCTGTCGTCGTGTCGTCCTCATCGTCGCCAGAAGTCGTTGTCGTCGTCGTCCTCTTCGTCGCCCTCCTCCTCGTCTTCCAGCATCTGTTCCTCCTCGATGACCCTCTCAGAGTGGGACCACTTTTGATGGAGCGGCCATGTTGGTCGTTGCAGGTGCGCACGGGACCGTGAACCCCGGGCTTCAATCTCCGTGAACCGGAGCACGTCTTCGTCCAAACAACGCCCGCAGGTGTATACGCACCTGCCCCAGCCGCTTCCCCGAATATGAGGCGAGGCCGTCTGCGACTGGCGTCCCGTCACGCCGGCGAAGCGCTGGGTGGTTACTGTACACTGGGTTCTGCACTGCGCTTGCCGTGCTCGACCGTTCGGCGACGCGGCGGTTTCACGGTCCCGCACGGCATTTACCTGTACGTTATTGTCACAGCGCCGCCGGCAGGGGCACTGTGACAGCGGGTGCACAGTGGCCCGGTATACGCGCATGCGCCTCCAACTGTACGTGTCGGTGCTAAGGCACTTATTCCCTTGGCGTGGCTGGCTGGACTACGGCCTGTTACAGGGCGAGGGTGCGGACAGTACCTCTTGCGGCGGCGCTTTCGTCAGGTCCGTTGGCCTCTTTCGTCTGCCGTCCGGTGTGGACTCGAGCCGGTCGTCGTCCTGTGCATAAAGGTGCACCTTTATAATGTGACAGACCCTTTAGAATACTTTGAGCTCTATTTTGATGAGGGTCTGATAGACATGATTGTGGATGAAACTAATAGATTTGCTCAACAGTATATTCAAGGTGCAACCCTGAAACCGAAATCCCGTGCAAGAAAGTGGACCCCAACTAACAGCAATGAGATCAGGGTGTTTCTTGCTTTGTTGATACTCCAAGGTATAGTTCACAAACCTGTTGCTGAATGGTACTGGTCAACGAAGGACACACTTTCGACACCCTATTTTGCTTCAGTGATGTCTGTCAACAGATTCAAACTCCTCATGCAATTTCTCCATTTTGTGGACAATACAACGTTTGATGCGGACAATGATCCCAGCCCTAAACTCTTCAAACTGCAACCTGTGCTTGACTATATAGCTGAGAAATTTGTGTCAGTCTACACCCCAGAGAGAGAGATTTCAATAGATGAATCATTGATGCTGTGGAAAGGCCGTCTTGGGTGGAAACAGTACATTCCAATCAAGAGAGATCGTTTCGGGATAAAATCATTTGAACTCTGTGAGTCTTCTAGTGGATATATATGGAAGTTCATTGTATACACTGGGAAAGAGGCTAATCTAAAGAGAGATGGAAAACTTCTATCGACCAGTGTAGTTCTTGATCTAGCTGAAGACCTTTTAGACAAAGGCTATAAGATTTATATGGATAATTTCTACTCAAGTCCAGAACTTGCCCAGATTCTTGTAGACAGAAACACTGATGCTGTTGGAACCCTTCGACTCAACAGAAAAGGTAATGGCACTTCATGTTTCACATTTCATCTTTATTTTTCTGGTGATTTATTGTAAAAAAATAAAGAAATACGGTAGTATACTTACTGAATCCTCCTCTGCTTTATATCTTTTCAGGTGTACCAAAAGATGTGAAAGATAAAAAGCTGAAGGCAGGCGAGGTGATCGCCCGCCAGTGTGGCAGGTTGACGGTGATGAAATGGAAAGACAAAAAGGATGTTTCCCTACTCAGCACTGCTCATGATACTAGCATGGCTAATGTGACTACCCACAAAGGAGAGAGGAGTAAACCCAAAATAGTTCTTGAATACAATAATTCAATGGGAGGAGTTGACCTTAGTGACCAACTTTTGTACAGTTACCCCCTAACCTGGAAGCGCCAAAAAAAATGGTATAAGAAAATGTTTCGTCATGTTATGAATATGTGTGTTATAAATGCATACTGTCTCTACAAGAAAAACCCAGCAAATGCCAACACCGACCAGCTGGACTTTCGCTTGCAACTGGTTGACAGACTGATGGAAGAGTATAGAGATGGTGATGAACAGCCAAAGAAAGGACGTCGATCGACAGATGGTGTTGCGGAACGTCTGAAGGGGCGCCACTTTCCCTCAGTTATCCCCCCGACAGAGAAAAAAACCAACCCAACTAAGAGGTGTAAAGTATGCTGCTCTCACAGTGATGTTGCTACGGGTGTTTAGCAGAGAATTGTCCCAGGATGCTTATATACGACTAATGAGCTAGTAGAATGTATCTTTGGGTGTATTCTCGGTATTGAGGCACAAGTAAATAACCGTGGGTGCTAATGAACGGGTACCCACATGTCTTCAATTTCAGACACAGGTGTATTCGTTTGACCAATATACGTAAATACGCGTAGTGCCGTCTGCTTTCCATGTTTAGTCTGTGGCCGTGGTTAGTCCGTGATCCTCCCATAGCGTTGGCCCCCAACACAGCCTACTTCATTAATTGAATTCAATGACCACATTGTTCGGCCAGCTGGTTGATCGGATGGTGTGGGCCAGTGCAGGTCACCGTTACGCAGCAAGTGAAGCTGTTGTTGACGATGGCATGGTGTTCACTATCAAACAAGCAAATGGAATTGTCAAGACCATCACCATGAGAAAGCAGAAACCAGCCCCTGACAGAGTGAAGCACTATGGACACACTGTACTGGAACTGGGTAGCTTCACACGCTGTTTAGCGCACTGCGCCAAGTCCTTCTGTTGCATTTTCGCAATGCATGTGCACTCACTCAATGAAGCGCTGCAGTCTGAAACGTGCGACCTTGTTAAGGCATCAAACCACAGCAGCACTGTTACTGCCACTCTACGGGACAAGAGAAACAACTCAACCTTTGACGATATCTGGAGTGATGCCTGTGAAGTTGCAGCTTCACATGACGTATCAATCACTGCTCCTCGCACTGCCAAGTGCCAGGCACAGAGACAGAACACGCCCGCAGCAACAGCCAAGGATCACTGGAGACTGAACGCCTACATACCATTCCTGGACCACCTTGTCACCGAGCTCACAGACCGTCTGTGCAAGCCATTACCGCGGCTTCAGGCGCAATATCTCTTGACAGGCTTCATGGAAAATATGACACCTGACATGTGGTTGGTAATCAAGCAAGAGTCTGAGCGCCTATTGCTCACTCCGAACAACATTGATGCTGAGCTGGACCTCTGGAAACAACACATCCAAGCGTCACTAGTGAAATCAGTGAAAGCTACTGAAATGTTGTTTCCGAACATCCATGTCATCTTGGTAGTACTATTGACGATGCCCGTATCCACTGCGAGTGCAGAGAGGTCGTTCAGCGCTCTGAAATGGCTGAAAACGTATATCCGAGGCACAATGAGTGACGCCCGCCTGACTGGACTGGCACTTCTACACGAGCACAAACACACATCTCAGTGAGCACGACGTCTGTAATAAAGCGATTTGATGCAACAGGACATCGACGCATTAGTTTGCTGTTTGGCAGAGTATAACAGTTTACTGGTATGGTCAGCTGATACACTGTGATACGGCAGTTGTGCAAAGCCAACCCTTGTTAACCGTCGGCTGGTTGTTGAGCCTTCCGGCTAAATACGGGTATTCTGCCTGTATAACTGTTTACACGCCTGGTTAACTAACTCCCGATATATAATATAACGCAAGCCCTGAGCCGCAGGTCAGCGTGCCCCGTGTTGTCCGTCGTCTGGCACTGTTGGCTGACCCCTGCCGCCGCACAAGGAGCCGTAACGAGCTGGGAGGTTCACCGTCGAGCGTGTAGCGTCGTGGCGCTCGGGCAATAGTGGAGTCCGGGTGGCAACGATACGGACGGTAGCTACCCATCCGGACATACGACTTAGGAGTATAACTTATACTTAACGTTACCACTATTCACCACGTTTTATTGAGTGGCAATCCTAGTACACTGTTAGGTGGCATCACCTATTGAGTGCTATTGATTCAAACCTTATCGATCAGCAAGGAATCAATCATGCAGCAGATCAGCAGGATGCCGCATACGACGCAATTAACAAATCTTTCGTATTGGGGATTGATGAAAAAAACTGTGTAGGAATTTTTCTTAAATTCTTAAATGAGCGATAGCATTCTAGTTAGTGTGCTTCAGTAATGCCATGTCCTGTAAGTGGTGTAGTGCACTCTAGACAAAGGACCAGGTGTATTTATTAACACACTAACCCCTCGATGCAATTGTCGCATAAGTGCACACTACTCTGGGGACTAATGATGTATAGCAGTTATATTTATTGCAGGTGTGGGTACTAAATCTGGTGGCTGCTCATTTAGAATAAATATCAACTTGCAAAGGCTATCCTGGAAAGATTATTGCACAATGCAGGAGAAACCGGGCCAAGAGAACTGCATGGGGGGGGGTTCTGAAGCAATTGAAATCTGATCGGGGGAGGGGTGGTGTGGCCAAGTATTGATATCCCTTGGAGGTTAGGTTAAAAGATATCAAAATAGGATGGAGGGGTCCAAATTTTCTGTGGTCCTCCTCCCACACACAAACTCACTTTTAAATGAAACAGCCTTAATGAAATGTTAGAACTAAGTTGAGCTAAGCTTCTGAACCCCACCATGTGTCTATAAACAGGATCATAGATTTCTGATGCCCCATGCACCAATTTTGATTAACCCTTTTTTTTAGTTGGCAACCTCCCCACTCCACCCCAACAGATGTAAATGGGGCTTTCACAATTGAGTAACAAATTTCAATATACTTTTCAGACCAATTATGGACAGGTTTGTCACAAGAACTGCAAGACTAACTGGGGCAGTTTCCACTGATTGTCCATCTGCATCAGTTTCTACAGTTTCCACTGTTCCCTCAACCGTTACCTCAGGCTGATCAGTGTCTACAATTACATCCTCACAGTCTGATTCAGTCGCTGAGGTTACCACACCTGTGGTTTCCACATCCTCCGAGCTCATACCAGATCCAAATCAAAGACACACGCCATGCACACAACAGAATGAATATGGACTATCACTAAGGTTTTGCTAAAAGTAAAATGTGCATGACGTGCTAAATTACTCTACTTCTTAATACAAACTGTGCAAATAAATACTATGAGTATGCTTAAATTGTCTACGTTACGAATCTCCTGAGTGTTATAGTTGTAACCTTAATTTTGTAATTTTTTTTACATCAAACGTTAGTACTAACGTTATAAATATATCCTCAAACTCTCACCTGATAATAATGTTATTACGTTGATTAAATTTTCAAAAATTTAGATGATTTGAATTACTGCCATCAACACTATTTATAGTCTAGAACACGATTTACTGGTGTCTCTCGGTTGCTGTGGTCGGTGTCATCGTGATTTGTGTATGGTGCACAAAGTAGTGCCCAAACAGTTTCTGTTTTGATTTCTGTTAGCTACATAGAATATATAATATAGGAAAATAAATAATATATGTTCATGTGTATTATGTTTGAAAAAATTATAAATAAAACTGCGAAATGCTATTTGTGGTTTTTTTATTTATGCCAACAAAAATGTTTGCAAAATCCCCCTTCACGCTATATCAACTAAACAATAAACAATGGTGGGCAGACCAGTTCAATTCAGTGCATCGGAAAGAAAACGAAGGAGAAAAAAGCAGAAAGAAGATTATATTAGAAACTCCTGCTTAATTTTACAAGGCATTTCCATGGCTGCCACAATAATTTTGCCAATGCCTCGTTTACCACATACAGGCTTTCATTTTTAAGGGGCGCGATCGCGCCTGCGCTCCACCGCGCACCCGAAATTGTGCCCTGGTGCGTGCATCATCGCGCCTCATAAAAGTGGTTGAAATCGCGCACCAAAAGTCTGTGTATTATGTTGAAATAGCGCTCCATAGCGTTGTCAATGTTGCAATGGATCGCGAGCCCTGATTGGAGTATCTAGCCCAACTCTAGTTTCAGTAGCCAATGAGAATGCGGCTTTCATACACCCTTCGTCGTATCTTAAAACAATGGTGGACCCGGCAGCAAGCAAGCTGTCAACTTCAAAAACTGTGAAAGAAAAAACCTTTAAAAGTTGGCCCATCGGCGAGTCTTTTAGATAAGATACGTTTGAAAAGAATGGCACATTGTATGTCAAGACCACGTGGTGTAAGACTTGTGCATTATGACGGCTCCTGGCTGACTTTACAGTAATTTGGTTTGTTAAGGTTAGGATGGTTTACCGTTAATACTTCAATTTATTAAAAGTAATTTCTTCATTTTTCGTTTTCAAATTCAGAGAGACTGTTCATGTCATGTCAGAATAAATAAAACAAGTTTATTTTTACATCCGATCAACTCTTTTATTAATCTGTGTGCTAGTGTTAGGTTGTTGGATGAAAAGAATGTAATCATGACGAAGCCATTGAATGAAGCCCTCAAGGAGCTTTCCATCATCCCTTTTAAAGGTGTGATTTTTAGTGGAGCTATCCATCATGCCTCTTAAGGCAGAGGTCGAAATTAGCGGTATCCCAATATCCGCAAGATAGTAGATTCTTGTGTTGGATACCAGATTTCAATGCTTGGTATCCCGCCGGAATAGTAAAAAAAATCGTCAAAATCGGGATAGTGGTTGTTGAGTTATCAACTTTATACGGCAGCGCATCTGAGCGAGTGCGCACGTAGAGCGAGTGCGCGCGATCTGAACGGGCTCATGCACCCTTACTATGCCACACTAGCGTTATACAGCAGGCATAGCATATTTGCAAGCGCAAGCGTAAGCGTGGCCGATGTTGATCATAAATGTGATGTGTATACATTGTATCAAGCGAACCAAACAATGCGTCTAGTCTAGACAATACGTCTGCAGTGTACTTGTCTGTGCATATCTGTGACTCTGTTTTTATATAATAATTACATTACATATTAATAATTTTCAAGTGCTATTATTGCATATTTTAAGATTTTGGATACCAACATTGTTGAAGTTACTATCCCAAAAATGGGATACCAGATCTTTGGGGGATACCAGATTTCAATACCTGGTATTCCAAATGGATACCATAATAAAAATCTAATTTCGACCCCTGTAACTGTAAGGGTGTGATTTTTTAGTGGAGCTCTCCATCATGCCTCTTAAGGGTGTGATTATGGAGTGTGAAAAGACCCCCTATGGTGTCCTAGGGGAGTCATTAGTAGTCTTCCTGTACTTTTCAAATCTGAAAGCCTGCGCATATGTTCGCTATATCGGCTAGCTGCGTCTGGGCACCACGCAAGAGTTTTGAATTAATGGCAGTTGTGTTTGTGTCGAGCGTTTGGTTACATCGAATGCACCGGTAAATTAGGGAGTATAAAGAAGGTATATAAGCATGAAAAGTAAACAGAAACACAAATTGTATTTTCATACATTTTATTTTGTACAAATAACACAAAAATATACTACTTGCGCGTAACTGACGGCATTATAAGTTCGAACATAGTATAGATAGTACATAGTGCACAAAGGTGTCAGTGTGCTTGTCACCACAGTGCACAATCTAGTTTGAGACCCCAGCTCTCATTTTCGCAAATGTGGCTAAACTAATCCGAGTGTGCCAAACTAGGATTGGGCCCACATGCGCTCACCTTTCTGTTGCTAGCTTAGTGGCTACACATCTTCGGCTGTTGGTAGAGCAAGTTTCATGCTGTGTGCTGGTATGTCCCGATGTTAAGCTAGAGGTAGTGGCTCCTGAATCGAGTCTCGTTATGCGGCCTTTCTCGCTGACTGACAGACCATTTTTGTCTTGAACTTCATAAAGCTGCTTTCACCAAAGAACAATCAATGATAGTAAAACATCGTATGAATGTTAAGTTCCCTTCTCGTTTCCAGACACGTCACTTACTCCGGGATTAACTACACTGGCAACTACAGCTTACTTGTTCATTTTGTTAACCACTAACCTAAACTAAAACAGTAAAAGCAACACTTGACGGCGCATTAACGTAACAGAGTAAACAGTAACTAGTACGATCGATCGATCAGCAGCACCATAGATATAGAATAAGATAGATAATCTTTATTCTATATCTGACACCGCTCGCACACTATCTAAATGCACTACCGCGTTCTTACCCTGTTAGGTAGCAGATGTAGCGTCATCGGCCGACCATCGGAGGGCCTGCAGACCCGTGCACTAAGCTGTACTAGCGACGTTTCTATCGTGATTCACTTATTTAGGCTGGTAGTTGGTTGTCAATGACAGCCATGGAGATGGGTGGATGGTTTACTGGTAATCATAAAACGAATTCTCTTCAACGTATAGCCCCCATTCGACATTAGCACGCGGCCACTGCTTTTTTAGGCCACAAATGTGTGTCGCAGTTAATATCATTCGCGATATTTTTTTAAACGCGGACGAACATTTGTCACTACATTCTCAATGAGTGCACAGCTGAAGTCATGGTACCAGCTTTATATTGCCACGTCGGCCGAAAACGACCGAAATACTATTTTTCAGCTCCTTGAAAGTCAATTCTTAAGTAAAGGATCCTATGGAGAATATTAATTCAGTGGTCTGTTATCATCTATGGTAGATACAATAATGTAATCAACAAGCGTAGGCGTTACAACGCGACTATTCGTTTCTTTGGAGGAGCTCCTGAGTGATTCACTCAATAAACCGCCGCACTAACTCACACAATACTCTGTATTAAACTAATTATAATATAACTGTTACAAAATTTCGAAAATGCTCGAATAATCGCCGCTCGTCGCTTCCAAATTTTATAACAGGTTATATTAGCTTAATACAGAGTATTGTTGATACATTAGTAAGTCCCAGGTAGCGGAGGGAAAAGCGTTCCGTGTTTGAATAAACCCCAGTTTAGAAGTTCTAGCCACGAAAAACGCACATAAAACCGCCTGAGTGAAATCACTCAGGGGCTCCTCCAAAAGAAAATAATAGGCTCGCGTTGTAACCCTACTCTTGTTGGGTTACTTTATTGTATTATATCTATGGTAGCACGATTATGTAATATGTGTCACGATCATGATCAAGTATCACGATCATGACTACAGAACTAGTAGTAGTACTACTATACTAGTACTAGTAACATCGCCATTATAGTCGAATGAACACCAAACTTAGGCACGAGGGTCGTTGTCGTATAATGGCGTATTAATACTATTATAAATATGTACCGAGGTAACGATTTTATATGGTTAGCCTTAGGGTTAGGGTGTTAGGGTTAGAGGTAGCACGAGCATACTCGAGCCGACACCTCAGGACTATATACACAACGACCCCTTCAGCCAAACTTATCCACAACACACTAGTGACTAGTGACTACACGTCAAGTTTATTGCTCGACCCGACACGAACGAGAAAGTGACAACATACGCGCACGCGTAGTACACGTCGAGGGCGCAAATCCACTTTAGGCACCTTATGTATCTCCGAACGTACTGAAAGATTTCTGTGTATCATCAATCTGATTGCAACAGAATTCCGTATATCAATTGGAATGATCGCAAAAACCCTAACCCTAACCCATAAGTTCATAAAGTATAACCTTACTCCTTAGCGCTAGGGTATCGACGAAGTGTGTTATGGGTTAGGTTAGGGTATATTTTAGGTCAAGGGGTTATGGGTTGGCTTTAGGGTTAGGGTTAGGGTTAAGGTTTTATTGCATGCATTCCTTGATATACGGAAAATTCCTGTGGCATCAGTTGATGATACACAGAATCTGTGCATCACTTCGTGATACCTAAGGCTAAGGTGCCTAAAGTGGATTTGCACCCACGTCGAGACCAAATAGTAAGATACGGTATATATTAGTAGGCCTATTGTCTACGCACGTGACATACTTCCTGTGGCTGTAGACTGTAGTGACTCTAGTGACTCACAAGCGATGACTAAAAACGTTGCAAAAATAAATAGCCTTTTATCGTATTGTATTTTAATTCATAACTGCAGTGTATCGGCAACAATAGTCTTTCTACAGCGTAACCTCAGAACGTAGATGAAACTTTAACTTACAACGCGTTCACAGAACCACGCAAAACCGCAAAACGACCTCCCGCCAAGTGACGTACTAGACTGGGGTCCGCACTCGACAGTTCCACACGCGTTGCGTGTAACGCGAGTGGAACCTCTGGTGGAACTGTCGATGCGCAGACCAGTCTAGTCACGTACCGGATGTGACACATAGCGCGCACTGCCATCTATCGGTTGCTTCGTTCGTAAATTTGATCTTGATTCATGACAAAAGTTAATCGCAGCTTAGCAACTAGCCTAGTGACACAATTGTACTTCATTTCAGCATAGATTTCAGGTAACCCAACCAGGCTGTGTGAGAAAATGTCTCCCATCACATGTTACTACTAGTACTACTAGTAGTAGTAGTAGTAGTACTGCTAGTACTGCTAGTACTACTACTAGTAATAGTATAGCTCTAGTATAGCTCTAGTATAGTATAGCTCTAGTAGTAGTAGTAGTATAGCTCCAGGAAACGGTATTGCTAGGGTTAGAATACTGTGGTGTATTGACGTTAGTCACACAGCCTGGTCGGGTTAGTAGTAGTATAGCTCTCCCGCGGATCGCTGCGATCGATCGATTCCTGCGGCAGCGATCCGCGGGCTATAGTACTAGAGCTACTACTAGTACTACTAGTAGTGAGCGTAGTGCTGAGAGGGTCTATGTCCCGGGGTACTGCCGGAACGTTAGCCCTGGTACTGTCCGCTATACCGGAACGTACTCGGTACTATCTTAATATGCCGAACCGTACCTCGTTACTCCACTAACGAGTCTAGGAGTCGCCTACGCCTACTCCCTAACCGCAACCCAAAACCCTAACCCTAATCTTAACCTAACCTAATCCTAACCCTAACCATATCAAATAGTGACCAGCGGTACGTTCCGGTATACCGGACCGTACACAGGGTACGTTCCGGCAGTACCCTGGGGGACATAGACCCTATGAGCAGTAGGCCTACTAGTACTAGTACTGCTGAGAGGGTCTATGTCATAATGTCCCCCGGGGTACTGCCAGAACGTACCCTGGGTACGGTCCGGTATACCAGAACGTACCCTGGTACTATACAATATGCCGGACTGTACCTTCGCACTCTCCACTAACGAGTCTAGGGAGTCGCCTACGCGCTACTCCCACTAAGAGTTAGGGAGTCGCCTACGACCTACTCCACTAACGAGTCTAGGGAGTCGCCTACGCCTACTCCCTAAACCCTAACTCTAACCCTAACCTAACCCATAACCCTAACCCTAACACCTAACCCTAACCCTAATCCTACACCATAACCATATCAAATAGTGACCAGGGTACGTTCCGGCAGTACCCTGGGGGACATAGACCCAATGAGCCCTAGTACTAGTACTACTACTACTACTACTAGTACTAGTAGTAGTACTAGTAGTAACTAGTGCTCGTAGGGTCTATGTCCCCCAGGGTACTGCCGGAACGTACCTGGGTACGGTCCGGTATACCGGATTTACCCTGGTCATTATTTGATATGGTTAGCGTTAGGATTAGGGTTAGGGAGTAGGCGTAGGTGACTCCCTAGACTCGTTAGTGGAGTAGGCGAGTACGGTCCGGCATATTGGAATAGTACCAGGGGACGCTCGGCAGTACCCGGGGACATTAGACCCTCTCAGCCATAACTAGTAGTACTAGTACTACTGCTGCTGAGAGGGTCTATGTCCCCCATGCCAGGGTACTGCCGGAACGTACCCTGCCGGTCCGGTATATCGGAACGTACCCTGGGTTACTGTTAATATGCCCGGAACTGTACCCTGGGTACGAGTCGGTATACCGGAACGTACCCTGGTACTATCTAATATGCCGGACCGTACCTCGCCTACTCCACTAACGAGTCTAGGGAGTTGCCTACGCCTACTCCCTAACCCTAACCCTAACCATATCAAATAGTTACCAGGGTACGTTCCGGCAGTGCCCTGAGACATAGACCCTATGAGCACAACGACTAGTACTAGCACTAGGGGCCTAGCAGTAGCATTGCAGGGGTGAATGATCTGAATGAGCTACGCAGCCATGGCATTAGCTCTACTCTAGAACTATAGCCCTTCGCTCTGCCACAGGCACAGTGCTATAGCACAAACTATGTTAAAACTGGGCAATGGAACTGCTCCCACTGCTCCCACAAAAAACGGCTCACAGAACGCAAAATGCCTTTTAACGCTTATTTATCTACATCGAGTGATCAACCTCTTACCTATCTTTTTGAACACTTTTCACAACTTTACACCATGCATCCCTATGATCTAATTATATCTATTCATTTATTCCTCAAACTCTAACTCAAAGGCTTAGCACTACTTCAAGTGCTTGCAAGTTCCGTTCCGTTATCCGAAATGTAGCCAAAAACATGGGAGCAGGCCATTACTCATGGATGGGGGTGAACTGGCACTTTTATTTTTAATCATAATTAACATGTTGATGGCAACCTTGTAATCAGCGCCAGTGCTATACCCACACACCTATGAGTAATGGGCTACCCTCGTTTTTTCTGTGATCCGTTCCTCGTGGGAGCAGAGGGAGCAGTAGTCGAGTTTCCTTAGCCCAATGCCCAGACCGACAATTTTTTGTCCACCCAAACCCACACCTTTGGCCAAAAACCACACCAAATCCACCAAAAATCGTCGGTGTGGTCATTGGTCAGAGGAAACTCGGACTAAGGGAGCAGTATGGTTGCCCAGTTTCAACATAGTTTGCGCTATAGCCCTGTGGCAGACGAAGGGCTATTGTTCTAGAGCTACACGGCCATAGTACATAGTCCTGGGTTTACACTACCGACTTTATGTTGTCAAATTGGCGAGTTGGACCAATTCGGCAACACTGAGTTGGCAAAAATAGAACATGTAATAGAGTCTCCCAACTAGTTGCTCTTGACCCATTGCTCGCGCGACTTATGCGTTTACACTGCCGATTGTCGGTTGTAAGTTGGGAAGTTGGTCCAATTCGCCAATTAGTTTGCATAAAGTCGGTAGTGTAAGCTCAGCTTAACAGTAACACAGCTAAGAGGGCGTCAGGTGCTGCAGGCACTCGTCGACTCGTATACCAATATTGGTGATGCACTGATACAGAAAAGATCATTCATATATGGTCTAAGTCTATACAGTGTGACATGAATCCTCACACTCATAGCCACAAGTACTGCCTGCACACATTATGATGACATAGCCTTTTGCATCAGAAATGACAGAATATTATTAAATACAAGTATATCACCCCAATTTCTAAGGCATACATGCAGGCACTTGTGGCTAACAATTGCCATGGATTGGGTTAACATAGATCCATAATCCTTGCATTTGCGTTAAATCTTCGTAAAGTCTGGCAGTTTTAAGATTGTATGCGTTAATTCTTTATCATGACAAATTTAGCTTTTACCAGTCTCTCAGTTCCCACACCTTGCCATCATTTTTCTAAGTTTTCATGCATTACATGCAACACTTAAATGTTTACTTTTAGATTTGATAGGTCCCTGTGCATCTTGTGTGATGGGAGCCAGTATATCAGCTAATGCGAACACAACTGCTGGTGAATTGACATCATCGAAACAATGCAGACAGACATCTGATCCCAGTGTAAGTAACACATAGCTAAGTATTTCGCTGAAGAAATAGAATAATAGGTGACAGGAGGTATAATACTAACAGATTATAAGCCGGGTAAAACATCATCTAACAAAACAAGAGTAACTGTAGCAAGGAGGATAAATTCTCCTACCCTTCCTCCCTATTTATGTCCCTCGCTCACCCTCTTCTGGCCATGTGCACATAGACACGCAATCTCCTTCCTCCATTCCTTCTTCCCTTCCACCTCTATCTATTTCACTTAAAGGGAGAGTTTACTCTAGGTTCTAGGGTTATTTTCAGCTAATTTAGGTTATAATTACGCTACATAAAAAGTTTCATGGTTCAATCACCTTGCACCGGTAAATTAGGGAGTATAAAGAAGGTATATAAGCATGAAAAGTAAACAGAAACACAAATTGTATTTTCATACATTTTATTTTGTACAAATAACACAAAAATATACTACTTGCCGTACATACGCATTATAAGTTCGAACATAGTATAGATAGTACATATTGCACAGGTGTCAGTGTGCTTGTCACCACAGTGCACAATCCTAGTTTGAGACCCCAGCTCTCATTTTCGCAAATGTGCTAAACTAATCCAGTGTGCCAAACTAGGATTGGGCCCACATGCGCTCACCTTTCTGTTGCTAGCTTAGGTGGCTACCATCTTCGGCTGTTGGTAGAGCAAGTTTCATGCTGCTTCTGGTATGTCCCGATGTTAAGCTAGAGGTAGTGCTCCTGAATCGAGTCTCGTTATGCGGTCTTTCATCGCTGACTGACAGACCATTTTTGTCTTGAACTTCATACCTGCTTTACACAAAGAACAATCAATGATAGTAAAACATCGTATCAATGTTAAGTTCCCTTCTCGTTTCCAGACACGTCACTTACTCCGGGATTAACTACACTGCAACTACAGCTTACTTGTTCATTTTGTTAACCACTAACCTAAACTAAAACAGTAAAAGCAACACTTGAACGGCGCATTAACGTAACAGAGTAAACAGTAACTAGTACGATCATGATCAGCAGCACCATAGATATAGAATAAAGATAGATAATCTTTATTCTATATCTATGGTAGATACAATAATGTAACTCAACAAGCGTAGGGTTACAACGCGAGCCTATTCGTTTCTTTGGAGGAGCTCCTGAGTGATTCACTCAATAAACCCGCACTAACTCACACAATACTCTGTATTAAACTAATTATAATATAACCTGTTACAAAATTTCGAAAATGCTCGAAATATCGCCGCTCGTCGCTTCCAAATTTTATAACAGGTTATATTAGTTTAATACAGAGTATTGTGATACATAGTAAGTCCCAGGATAGCGGAGAAAGGTTCGTGTTTAGAATAAACCCCCAGTTTAGAAGTTCTAGCCACGAAAAACGCACCATAAAACCGCCCTGAGTGAATCACTCAGGGGCTCCTCCAAAAGAAAAGAATAGGCTCGCGTTGTAACCCTACTCTTGTTGGGTTACATTATTGTATCTATATCTATGGTAGCACGATTATGTAATATGTGTCACGATCATGATCAAGTATCACGATCATGACTACAGACTAGTAGTAGTACTACTATACTAGTACTAGTAACATGCGCCATTATAGTCGAATGAACACCAAACTTAGGCACGAGGGTCGTTGTCGTATAATGGCGTATTAATACTATTATAATATGTACCCAGGGGTCGAAATTAGCGGTATCCCGATATCCGCGGGATACCAGATTCTTGTGCGGGATACCAGATTTCAATGCCGTTGAATATCCCGCCGATTCAGTAAAAAAAAAATCGTCATAATCGGCAGGATTAGTGGTTGTTGATGTTATCCAACTTTATAGCGGGCAGGCGCATCTGAGCGAAGTGCGGAGAGCGCGAGCACGCGGCCAGCCTTAGTTACATAATTTACTATGTCACACTAGCGTTTTATAACAGAGGCAGGCATAAGCCATAGTCTTGGCAAGCGCAAGCGTGGCCCAGTGTTGATCATAATTTGCTGACATGTGTATACATTGTATCATGATTTGTATCCAAGCATGAGTACGGGACTACCTAGCAGAGCTGTTGCCGAAGGAGGTGTTAAATTCCAAAGCGGCTAAGCCGGCAGATCTTTCGCGGCAGCTTCCGCGGCAAGGCGCACGCACCGCCCACCCTGGGAACGTCCTTAGACAGTATGCAGCGCTTGGCAGCTATGGATCCGTGCCGCCGAATGGCATTATGGCCAAGCGCACGAATCCATAGCTGCAGCGCAACAGTCCGCATATTTTAGTGGGGGCACACAGACGGCAGACATTTTGGAAACGTGACACAGTGTTCACTTGGTTATAAGAAACTGCTAACCGGAGTAATCTGTTCGCTAACGCAGACTTGTGTACAGGCAGAAATCACAGAAAGAACTGCTCGAAATCTGACATGTCGCCTGCAACTTCCGCCCAGTAATGGAAACGGCTGTCAGAATCAGGAAACACCTACCGGCGCTCATCTTACGCGGCCGCCAACGCTGCAACGTTTTTGCAACGTTGCGCAATGGGCGAGGCTGCGTACGGGAGCTTTGGAAAAAGCAAGTGCGCCGCTCTGCCCCGCCGCCTATAGGCCCATAGGACTGGCACTTTCTCCCCACCTCCTCGGCTTAGCTTAGTCACTAAATGGCCCTAATCGGTCGTGGGAGCTGAGTCCTAGTCTATATAGTAGCTTTGCCACCTCGCACCTTCATTGAAAAGAGAGTAGGCCTATACATAGAAACATTAAGAATTTGTGTAGTAAATAGATTTCGTATTTAAGTTAGCTTATATTTTATTGAAACGCTTCAAGTGCCTGTGTCTAGTATAGCTAGGGGCTATTTTCAACCTAGCAAAGAGCGTTTCTTGCCTAGCTCGCCTAGT